AAGGACTAGAAAGAAAAGCATTTACAAGACACACATATTTCAAATCACATCTTATTGGCTAACTGAAGATATAAACAAACAACTTGACATATTCGAACCGGACGATACTAGTCCAGTATAGTTCTTATTACAGATAAAATCTGAAATATAAATATGGACCCAACAAATAAAGCAAAATCTATGTGACAAAACATTATAGTTGCAAAATGCAAAATTTCAGGCCTCTGTAAGGCCATTTTTTTAAATGTAGAAATGACATCAAGTAGCTACTTTATAGGGCTGCTATTTAAGAATTAACCAGTGCATCTGAAATTTCAGTTTTTCAGTTCAACTTTTCGGGATAAAAATGTCTTGATTAGTCCTGAAGTTAAGATTTTTAGTTTAAATTTTTAAAACAAAATAAGTATTGGCTAATCTCCAAAATAGCATTCCTGGGAATGATTATTTGTGCAATTGCCCCATTTTCTATTGCATTTCGGACAACGCTTTCTCGAGCTGGGTCCATTTCTGCTCCAACGTACCATTATATCCAACTGACATTCTCACCAAACCAGGCGAAATCCCAGCCAATTCCTTCTCTTGGTTATTCATTTCACTACTAGTACTACTGCCCGAACATGACATAAGTGTCTCATAATAACCCAAACTCACTGCCATGAACCCAAATTGTGTGCAATTTTGCAAAACATTCATCAAACGGTTCGCTCTTTCCTCAGTTCCCATGTCCAGACACAAAATTCCACCATAGCCATAGTCTTTATTGGCCATGGACTTGAGAAGGGCATTATCTGGGTGATTTTCTAGACCTGGGTAAATGACTTTGAGCCCGAGATTCGTCATTCTAGTAGCGAAAATGAGAGCGCGATTGCAATGCTCTTTCATTCTTAAGCTTAAGTGAGGAAGTCTTTCTGACAGTTCGAACGCGACCTTCGCGTTCATGGTTGGGCCTAGTAGCATCAGTGCCCCTTGACGAAGATCCATCATTGAGTTCACTAGACTTGCCGGTCCACACACAGCACCTGTGTGTTTTTTGCAAAGTAAAATAATTTCAATTTCATTTAATGCGGATTCAAAATTTTATGTCAATCAATTAAGATAAAAGAGCATTGTATATATAAACTGCCTCGTGATAGTGACCATAAATTTAGAGTAGGTATATATAATATTTTTGTTCAATAGATGTAGATTACCATTGTATCTAGAACCGGATCTAGGATTTAAGTTTTATGAGTTCAACTTTTAGGTTTCTTAGCATTGAATCCATTTTATTCTTAAAATTATGAACTCGGACTTACTATTTGTTGCAATATTAGTAAATTTTACACATCATTTTATGTTCCCGTCGAAAAATCTGTGTTCAGATGAATCCGATGTCATAGTGCTAGATCCGCCGATCTGATTGTACACCCAATGTTTAAGCAATATACTAACTTATCATGGTTAAATCATATGCTAAGATAAAAATATATACTCCTAATTAACTGGAATTTATTGACAAGAGCGTTGGTGAATACATGTATCACCTATTTATTGGGTTGACGCAGCTACAATTTAGATCAACAATTAATTATATTTTGTGATGATTCAATGATTGTCTTTTGGAAATAACCTCTCTATCCTCACATAGGTAGGGGTAAGATCTGCGTACACACTATCCTTCTCAGACCCTGCAGTTTGGGATAATACTAGGTATATTGTTGTTGTTGTTGTTATCGTTAATGATTGTCTCTACTAGGGGCGGCTCTAAGGCTTTGGGCAGTTAGGCCATTGCCTTAGGCCCCCAAATTTATTTTAAATTCTTATTATTATTATTATTATTATTACTATTATATATTATATAATTTATATAAATAATTAGAATAAAAAAATATTACAATATATTTTTTGTTACTTGATTGAGGTTATTTTATACAATAAATTTATAAATTATGATAATTTTCTTCCCTCATTAATTAGTATATTTGATAAGAGTGGGTTGCTCTAGTGGTGAACATTCTCCATTTCCAACCAAGAGGTTATGAGTTCGAGTCACCCAAGAGCAAGTTGGGGAGTTCTTGAAGGGAGGGAGTCAAGTATTTATCGGAAACAGCTTCTCTAATCCAGGGTAGGGGTAAGGTCTGCGTACAAACTACCCTCCCAAAACCTCACAAATGAGATTATACTGGGATTAAGGACCTCCGAATATGATTTCCTCTTAGTCCCCGAGATCTGTTGAGCCGTACCTGGTCTATGCACCCGGTTAGTTTTCCGTTTTGTTACTCTCTTGATACGAAAATGAAAAGAACTATGCATACGTAACATACAAAATGGTCCCGAACGCTAATTACTATCATGAAAAGAAATGATACACGTGAAAATTACCTGCAATGACGTCAGCACCACCACTAATATACTTGGAGATACTATGAACGACGACGTCGGCTCCCAACCTCGCCGGAGACAACACCATCGGAGCAAATGTGTTGTCCACCACCACCGTCACCCCCTTCTCATGCGCTATCCTACACAACTCGGGAATATTCGAAACCGTCAACGTCGGATTTGAAATTGATTCAAAATACAACACCTTCGTTTTCCCTTCCACAATTGCTTCATTAACCATATCAAAATCCCTAATGTCCGCAAACGACGTCGTTATATTAGACGTCCTCGGTAAAAAGTGCGTGAGCAAAGCATGCGTCCCTCCGTACAAGGAACGCGAGGCCACCACGTGGTCTCCTGAGCTGCAGAGCTGGAGCATCACGGATGCGATGGCTGACATGCCAGAGGACGTGCAGTAGGCGGCCTCGGTACCCTCTAAGGCCGCCATGAGGCGCCCCAAATTGAGGACGGTAGGATTGAAATGACGGCTATAAATGAAGAAATCACGGTCAGGGCCAAGTTCCCCCGCGAACATGCGGCTCAAAATCTCGGGGTCCATGACGGTGAATGTGGCGGAGGCTTCGATGGACATGTTGACTCCGCCATGTTCGCCAAATTCATGGCGGGCATTTGCCAACGCCGCCGCTGGATCCTCCCATATGAGGTGGTGCTTCGTTGGTTTTTTGGCCACGATGACGTCGTCACAATGATCACGTTCATCGGAAGCCGATAACTTCTTGTTTGAAACGACCGCGTTTTGTTGCAATTTATCCGCCATGTATAAGATGTACAATTACTTGATTTGGGTGAAAGAGAGATAAAAGCGATCGTTTCCGACTAGAAGATTGAAGAATAATGTTACGTTGATGAGCAAAATAAATAGAAGTCTATATATATAAGGGTGTGGGGCAAGGAAGCTTATGTGGATATTAACAAAAAGAAATTAAAAGAAAACTCTTGTTTTTACTTTTTTGTCTTAACTGCCTTAATTCAGACGTTCATGCCGTAACAACATTGGATGGTACTAGTAGGCTGTAGCTAATTATGGTGGTTCTTACGTGCAAGTAAGCCGTGTAGAGAAAGAAATAAACACTATGGCATATGGTCTACATTTCTCACGTGATGTGGTAGTATACCGCTAGCCTGTTTCGCCAAGCTTCTCCGATGCTAAAAATATTTTTTTTCGAGAAAAAAAATATACTTTTTTTAAAGTTTAAGTGTCTGGCCAAACTTTTAGAAGAAAAAAAAATATTTTTGAATAGAAGCAGAAACCATTTTGGAGAAACAGAAAAAAGTAGCTTCTCCCTAGAAGCACTTTTTTGAAAAGCGCTTTTAAAAAAAATACACTTAGAAACACTTTTTAAAAGTTTGGACAAACACTAATTGCTGTTAAGAAGTAATTTTTAAATTAATTAGTCAAATACAAACTGTTTCTCTCCAAAATTAACTTTTGAAAAAAAATACTTTTCAAAATAAGCTAATTTTAGAAGCTTGACCAAACAAGATATGCATCTACGACCCCCTAATTTGAATTTGAGGAGTACTATAAAGAAGTTCTATTTAACGACTTTTGGATGTAGCATTACATTCAATAAATTCGTCTAAATTAATTCTCTCGTCGGATAAACGCATGCATTTCAAATAGATATGTACTCTATCAAGTTAAAGTTAATGTTTTCAAACTTAAATTATACTCTATTAATGAACATCAATCATCTTAAAGTCTTAAACCATGAAATTGTTGCTTTGTTGTTTCTTTTTAATTAATATTATGTGTTTTTGTGTATCACTTATGATCAGAATAAATATATATAACGAGATCATTAAATGGTTATGCGCTATCTGCACACACACGCACACATATGTTCATCCCTCCAAGTTATCCACAAAATGGGGTATTTTCGTGCATTATTATCATAATATTGAAAATTTGCTTAACTAGGGAACTAGAATATGCTATCACATGTTGTGACAAAGAAGGAAACAACGGAACAGCTGATAAATGAAACACGTAAAGCAATGTAATTTGTAACTTCACTTCCTAAAACAATTATTCTGCATTTTCATTTTCTTTCTATGAGGAAGAAGAGAGATCAATAAATGATTACGTAAAAAGCTTCAACAGTCGTATTCTTTTTGTTTTTCTCTTACTAATTCGTTTTTGTTCCTCTCTTACGATCCAATCCCAAATAAAGTGGTCCATCACTTCCCGTGACAACAAAAGATAATAAAGTAAAACATGAAAAAGCTAAAAAGATTCAACATGCAATATACATATATTAAAAGAATTTAACTTATATATATGTCCATTTTTAGTGAAGGGGTGCCAATTGAATCCCCTTCAACAAAGATAGCTCTATCCCTTGTTGCTTCTGTTAATCCTTTCACTTAGATTGGTCCTCACTAGTGATCACACTACTTGACTTAAAATTCTAATATACATATTATGCCATTTTACCAAAAAAATAATTTAAATATTATATTCATTAATTCCTAGTTCCACTTTCTTCTTCTTGATCTCGCATGTTTGCCACCCCTACTACCAATAATAGAGTTTGAGCTAATATGAAGGTTTTTTATTGTGATTTTCACAAAAGGCCAATTTCGCGACAATTCAGGTCAAAATTATCACCGTAAAATTAAAATACAAGTAACTAAGCAACTGCTTATTTGATGACTAATGATATTGGAACCAACATGTAAAATAGGGATTACTCAGTTCATGAAGATATCATTCTTCTTAAGTATAGTAGCATGTTTGTGTGCAAGAAAATTGAAAGAAAAAAAAACTTCAAGCTCTGTCCCAAGTAAAGGGAAATATTGTAGTACTACTCATTGGCTTTCTCTAAGTACTTTTGCTTTTCCTCCTCACTCATAAAAGCAGTAATAGGAAAAGTCTTTCCAATTCCCATAGGAGTCTTGAAATAAATCTTTTTTGAAGCAGGATCTTCAATGCTCATTTCAACAATTGGCACCCAAAGAAATAGTTGCTTACTCTTAACACCAGTCATTTTTTTCATCTTACATTTCTCCACATATGCAGTTACCTCAATAGCATAGCTTACAAGAGTTTTTGTTGCAGTAAAATAATGCTCGTACGGGGCCTTTTGTTTCATCCACACAAATCCAGTTTCACGAACGTGTCCACATTCTTCAAGATCTTTAAGAGGAAGGACTCCTTTCGGAAATCCTAAATCTTGTAACATTTCTACTGAATGGCGGTAGCATTCTTCAGCTCCGTATACAATTTCTGCTCCTGCGCGTTCATCTTCGTGTGATTTCTGCTGATCACTAGACATTTTTGCAATTGATTCAGATAGGAAAGAACGTATGATATTGTATGATTCAGTAACTGAGGCTTATTATATGGTTAGATTGTTGGCTGGAATTAGTTGAGCTAGAAAAGTTTGGTCGCTGGAGTTGCTTACCTAACCCTAGACAAGTAAAGAATATTGAGCCGAATTGCTAGCTACTTTCCCAATTAGGCAGTTGTGCACGGCAAAATTTTCAGACTCGACAATCCCATTATTATACGGAAAAGGGTCTAAACTACCCTTAATGTTTACTAAATGATTTATAAATACACAAAATATTTACTAAATAATTTATAAATACACAAAGTATTTATAAACCATTTAGTAAACAATAGGGGATATTTAGGCCCTTTTCCGATTATTATATAGATGAATTTTCAGAAACCACTATAGTTTAGTGGTTATTAATTTCTTATAGTTATCATATACATATTTACTTCTTATAGCTAATATTTTCGGTATTCGCGCTACTGTACTCATAAATATAGTCGCGGAATTCGCCTAATAAATAGGGAGTTCAGCTGTTTAATAACGAAAAGAGGATCAATTAGTTTGAGTCACTCCTAATTTAACTTAACAAAATCAATTCCACAAAATTTTGTTGTTACTGTGTTGTATTCCATGTATTCGTGCGATTGTATTTATAAATACAGTGAGGTAATCCGCCTTAAAAACATAGATTACAACTGTTTAATTCTGTATTCCATGTATTCGCGCGAATGTATTTATAAATACAGTGAGGTAATCCGCCTAAAAAATAGTAATTACGGGCGTTTAATAACGGAAAGCGCAATATTGAATTGTATTCAATTTCACTATATTGAATTCAGTTGTATTCAAACAACAAAAATCAAGAAATAGGGTGTATACTGTTATATTCAGTTCCATTGTATACACTTTATTTAATTCACCGATATTCATTATTCACTATTATACATTGTATTTAATTCATCGTATTCAATTTGACTGTATTCAAACAACAAAAAATCACAAAAAATAGTGATACTCGGTCGTATTAAAAAAATACAGACCTTCGGAATACATAAATACAAGCGAAAAAATAATGTATTACATAAAAATATAATGTATTTGAGCGTATTTATACAGAATATAATGTATTTGTATCATTGTATCTGACTCAATAGCAAAGGAGAGAAGAAAGTTCGTCGGAGATGGCGTTTTTCAGCCAAGCAAAATACTGTATACATTGTATTAAAATTAAAAATGGAGACGAACAAAAATCCGGCCCTCAAATCTTCTCCGGCGACTCTGCTTCAGATTTTCAAAAACTCAATTCGTAGCCATGGCCAGATCTGTTCGCCCACTCCTTCTTTGCTTCAGATCTATTCTCTTCGCTTCAGAAAGTCCACCATCGCCACCAAAAATAGCTGACCGCCTTGATGGAACTTTTAGGTACAAACAAAAGAGGTTCTCTATCTACACCAAGCTGTAGGCTGTAGAACATATGACTATTTCGGCGATGACTGCTTCGAAATTTCTTTTATTTTTAGATGTTCCAAGCAAATCAAATCTTTTCATTGTGTAAGATACTTTAAGCTGGACTAGATCCTATTGACTTTGAGTGTGGTTGAAACTCTAAAGGGAGAGAGATTTGAGGTAGAAGAGAGAGGATTGGAAAACTTGTTCATAGAGAGAGAAGGAAGAGAGAGAAAGAACATAACTGATGTGCCTCAACGGTAGGGTATAAATTAAATATTTATTTTTTTCAAGATGCACGGGCTAATTCTTAAATAGCAACCATTTAGAGTGGCTGTCTAATGTCTTTTCTACATGCAAATGTGCGTAGAAATTGCACGGGGTGTCCTATTTAGTCACCCTCATTTAACCTATACCCCTATTTTTAAAATTATTTAACATATACCTTAATTTTAACAACTTCAGATGCCTCGTCTTCTTCCTCTTGACCTATGCGTTCCTTTCTTCCTCCTCTTCTTTTCTGATGAGGCTGAGAGCAGTTCAGTTTAGGATCTGACCAAACCCATTATTTTTTTCCCTAGTTTAGGATCTTGATAGTTCACGCTGAATTGTATCTCTTAGTTCATGGCAAAATGCAAGAATAAAACTGTCATCTTCGCTCTCCGAATTTACGTTTTTTGGTAAAAATAATGGCTCACCTCCATATATTTTATCTCCATACATATATTTCTGAACTTTCCCCATTGATAAGTCCATTTTTGCAAATCTTGAAACTTTTGGCCATTGTGAGCACCTAATTTTTGACTATATTTGAATTTTTACCACCTTCTACTATATAAATATTTTT